GTTCAAGCCGTGGTAAAGACGGGGGGTTTTCTTAATGGTGCGAGCTTAGTTTTTCCCGCCACCAGCGTGATAATTTGTTGCCCTTCTTCACTAATAGATTTACAGTAGATAACGCAGCCGTAGGCTTTCTCGGAGGCGTCACTGAATCCGTGTAACTCGATGGGTTGTTTAGTGTTACCAATCCAGCGTTGTAAAGCGATGGTATTGATAGTGGGCAATTCTTGTTGAAAGGTTGTCCACTCTTGTTGTATGTCTTCCGGAAGAGGTTCATCCCAATTTGTTGAAGCAAGCCAAGCTTGTTGAAATATGAGTTTTGCCTTCATTGTTACCGGAGACAGCCAACCAAGTGGGTCATATAATTTTGATAGATCAGAGAGCAATGTCCGCTTCGTTGTGACGTCACGTGTGTTACTAAGTGGCGCCTTGAATGTAAACTGATCAGTGTGCGGATTCCAGGTTAAGCCGAGTGTTTTGTTACTCTCTGCGTCCTTGAAGTCAAACATATTCTGGCTTATGAGATGTTCAGGTAAAGTTTGAAGCAATCTGGGGTGGTTACTAGCCCATTTGCGAAGATTGAACCCACCGCCTTTTAACAGGTCAATCAATTGGTTTTGAGCGTCTTGTGCTTCTAACATGTCGTTGCTGCCACCAAGTAGGTCATCCACATACAGCTGGTGAGTAAGGATCTCTGCCGCGAGAGGATAGCGGTGTCCATCGTCCATTACGAGTTGTATTATGGTGCGCATTGCCAAAAATGGTGCAGCTTTGGTACCATATGTTACAGTGCACAGTTGGTATTCTTTGATGAGATCTGTAGCAGAGTCACGCCATACAATTTTTTGCAGGTGTTGATCTTCATCGTGTATCAGTACTTGACGGTAAAACTTCTCAATGTCTGCAGTGTAGACGTATTGAAAGGCTCGCCAACGTAGAATCATAGATTGTAGGTCTTGTTGGAGGTTAGCCCCGCACTCCATGAGATCGTTCAAGCTTTGTCCTGTACTTGTCTTGGCAGAGGCATTAAAGACTACGCGCAATTTTGTAGTTGTTGAGTCCAGCTTTTGTACGCCGTGATGAGGTAAGAAGTAGCTTGGCTTATGGTGTTCAGTGCATGGCTTCATGTGGCCGAGTTGTAGATATTCGTCAATAAACTTCTTGTATGACGTAGAAAATGTTTCCTGTTTGGCCAATCGTTTTTCTAACTGCCGAAATTGTGCGATTGCCTGTGGCTTAGAAGTGCCCAAGGTTTGTTCGTAGTTTATTTTCATTGGAAGTCTGACTGCATATCGTCCGTCTTCTTTTCTTGTTGTTGTGGTTGAATAAATAGATTCACAGTATTCTTCCTCTGATGTTAGATTGTGATTGGTTTCGGTTATCTCCTCCATCTCCCAAAATCGAGATACATCGTCAAGATTAATGAGCACGTGGCAGTTGAAGGTTTTGATATTGCCCAGCAGTACCCAGCCCACTTTTGTCTGTTGAGCCATGGGTGCGTGTGAGGGTCCTCGTAGCATACCACTCATTACTATGTCAGCATACACTCCAGCGTCTAACAGAACGTCCACTGGTCTCGAGATGTTGAAGTCGGGATCCGCCAGTTGTATGTTTTGAATATGTGGCCAGTCTTGTTTTTCGAAGGTGTAATTAGGCAGGTTGCTGAGCATGTTGGCCATTACCATGGCTTCGATTGTAAATGAATGGCCTCCGTACAAAGACTCACAGTCTAACCGTACGGTTCCGTTGCTATGATGTGCTGACGTCCCTATGCCTGAGACTGTGGCGTTTCGATTTTGTCTTTGCAGTCCCAGCCGTTGCGCAGCATCTTCAGTTATTAGATTTATCTGTGATCCTTGGTCGAGAAGGCATCGCAATTGAACAGTCGATCCATCAGCTGCCATCACCTTTAATTGAACGGTCGCTAGTAGGACTTCGTTATAATTTCCAGACACGTGGTTTGCCTTTTGCTGTGACGTATGTGGCTTGTTGCTAGGTATAACGTTATTTGAGACCGCGATTTCAACTTTGCGGTAAATATCGTGCAATGTTGTGTGGTGTGCTTCTTTGCACACGCGGCATCTTTTGTTGGAGTTGCATTTATTGTCGTTGTGTAAGTACAGGCAATTGCGACAAATATGTAGTTGCGAAATTGACCTCATTTTGTCTTCCGGTGACATGTCTTGAAACGACTTGCAGTAGAGTAAAATATGAATTTTTACACAGTGGGCAATTTTTGTCTGTGCTTGTATGATATGCTCGAAGAAAACTACGCCTGTTGGTGTTGTTAAAGTCCTTCTTAAATTGAGCTGTTGCCTCCTTGTTGGTCGAATTGTTTGACTTGTTAGGTGTCTGTCTCTTCTTTTGAACAGGTTCAAGCGCAGTAAACTTGTTTTCCAAGAAGTTTATCAGCTCATCCAAGGAAGGTAGCTCTCTCGGAGCCTTTCTGATCTCCATGTAGGCTGCATACGTGTCGGAGTCCAATTTGCCAGTGAGAATGTGCACCAGGATCGGATCCCAAGTCGTTGTGTCGATGCCCAGATTGTGAATAGCATGTATGGTCTCGACACTTGTGTCATGTAGCTTCTTCAGCTCGTATGCATTCTGTGTTTGCAACGCCGGTTGTCCCATAAGGGTTTGTATATGTTTTGTAAACAAAAGTTGTCGGTTGTTGTACCTATGGGTGAGTATCTCCCAACAGGTGTCGTAATTATCAGCTGATACTGTAAGATGCTGTACGATGCGCTCCGCCTCGCCTTTAAGTTTGCCCTTGAGGTGCTGCATCTTTTGCGTTTTTGTCAACATGACATTGTTGTGGATGGCTTCACAGTAGAGGTCCATGAATGTAGGCCACTGGGTATAATTACCAGAAAAAGAAGGAATCTCAATTGTAGGCACTTGCTGATGCTGTTGAGATACTGAGTTAAGCTTACGATTCAAATCCCTTTTTGTAGTTTCGTACAAGGTTTCGTATGCCGAAAACTCTTCTTCGTAGCCTACATCACCGCCAGAAGTCAGGTTATCGATTTGCCAGTGGAGCTCGTCGATCAGTTTCCAGCGAGACTGCAGCGAATTCAGTTTGTCACAAATTTCCCACTTTTCTGTCAACTCTTTGGTGTTGATGTTTTTTATCACCCTAGAGAGCGCCCGGAAATTAGTACGTTGTTGGCTAATGAACTTATTAGACCTTGATGGTACTCCAATATCCACAATTTTCACCTCGTAGTTCATCAGCGCGTCATGAATCGCTTCGTACCGCTTCTTTGTGGTGGTGTAGGTATCATTGATGAAATAGTCGTCATCCAAGTCACTGTCTGTTTTTTTTAGAACACCATGATTCATGTTGAACACCTCCCATTGAGCATTCAAAGCATCCAACCTTTTCTGTATGTATGTTCCTGACTTACGTGAATCAGAATCCTTTTTGAAGTTAGCCTCAATTTTAAGGATAGATTCAATGATTGTTCTCTGCTGTTGAAGTAGGTTCTCCATGGTTTAAGAACGATGTTGTAAATAGTTGGTTTCAGATACGTGTGACTGCGACTCTTACCGTAGTATGCACCTCAATCAAGCTGGTGAGACCCGCTTGTGGGAGGCCAGCAACCAAAGTGACACTACAGATAGAATCACGAATTAATCTTTTTTTTTTTTCAAATACACTTTACTGTTGAACTATTGTAGACGTAATATGCAAGTCTTAGTTCACGTCGAAAGCTCGAAGGACCAAAATGTAGGGGGTATTTTGTGAGTTGTGACCCTCTACATATAATTGATATGTAGTATATTAATGTAGGTTGTATCTTCTACGTTACGGGATGTGGTAATTAAAACTGTGTCCGTTTCCGTAGAGAGCATTTATTGAACTGAAATACTTATGAATAAAAAATGTAATTATAGTGAACGTGTCGCGCGCGCAGGCGCGATATCAGCATTATTTTCTAAACTGTTGAAATATCATGTACTTGCTCGTACACATGCCTTCGTGTGGGGAAACAAAGACACCCGCGAAAGTATCTCAAAATGCTACTAGATGGCGCGAGTGCCTTTGTGGTTATTGGTGCTTTTTCCGTGATTTTTGGGCCGACAGTCAGTAGTGCCCCCGCTCTCGCGAGAGTTTGACGTGTCTTGGAACTACAGTCACTTAAAGGTATTTATGACCGTTTTTATTCTGTTTTATTGGAGCAACAAAGACTCATCTATTTGTAAGAGTTCAATTATTTCTTGTTATAAACAAAAATTTTGGAGCAACAAAATCATTAATTATAAAATTAAATTTTATTATTTTCAACTAAACTAATTGGCACTACAAAGTCCTAAATTAAAAAGTTTTTTTGACTACTAATTGGAACTACAAAGTTAATAACAAAAAAGTGTTTTTTTAGCTCCATTAATATTACGCTTTCGACGAAGAATTTGGAACTATAAATCTGTAAACAATAAATATGTTTTGTAGGTCCAATATTATTATTTATTACAGAATAATAAAAAGACTTGGAACTGTTTAGTTCCAAATGTTTTCGGCAATCCCATGACCGATTTGGCTCAAGTCAAATTTAAACTTTTTTTTATTACCTAAATATTATTTTAAGACGAGCACGCTTTGGGGCACCCCACTAAAATTATTAATTTATCTTTACGGAGGGTGTTTGATGACTTTGATTAGTGATGAAACTAACTATTTAGTTTCTTATTTTTCTCGACGTCTGTAAGTGGTGGTATACACTTATTTCTCACTTAGAGGTCTTCGATTCGATTTCAGATGAATCTGACTTACAAATACCTTTAATAAAATCAATTTTATTTCGGAGAACAATGGGTTCCCCCGCAGTAAAAATTTTATGTCTATGGTTAAGACTCAACAAAATAATTCCATAAAAAACAAAGCATTAGTTAAAACCTGGTTAGCGAACTTTCATACAGAAGATCAGGACTATGATCATGACTACAATTTAGGAACCTCTCATTCTTCAATAAATAATATCTCCAGTACTTCAGATGGAAGAAAAATGGATCATTCAGATACTGACGACTATAAAAAATGTAATCATGCCAATAATTCGGACATAGTTTTAATCGACGAAGTAAAAATTAATTCCATGTTACAAAATATCGTTACGGGTAATGTGGCTAGAAAGGATATTGAAAATGTGGCTTTTACTACAGATAGTAAAAAATGTAATCATTCAAATGATGGGGTTTCTTCAAGTGTAATTAACATTGATTTAGAGCCACAAAACACTTTACCAAAAGAGGTGCTAATGCAAGACACCTTCTCGAATGCCAATGAAACTGACCCTGATAATAATGAAGATTTTTCCGGGACTGATGGATCTGAATATGAACCAACGAAAAAAAGCGTCCAAGAAAAATACTTTTAGTCAGCCCGAAGTACATCTAGCTCTGGCAGTAGTTCCTCGAGCTCAAGTAGTAGTTCATCCAGCTCTGGCAATAGTTCTAGCCACTCCGGATCTACATCTTGCTCCAAAAATGTTTCTAGTGTATCAATTGTACATAATAATGCAGCCTCTGAGACTATTCAAGGAAGTACTGAACAGGCTAGTACTGTACCAAAGTCTAAAAAAAGGACCATAAATCCTAGTCAATGGAAAAAACAACAGAGAAAGTATCTAAAAAACACAGGTCAAGCATACACATCATCTAGAGGTAAAGCCATGCCGCAAAAATACATTCGTCCACCTTGTGTAAATACTTGCCGATTGTCTTGTTCAAATAAATTTAATGCAGATGATAGTGTGACGGCCCAATATTATTATTAATAATTAAATTCAATATAAAGGGGCATCAAAAATAGTCTTAAAATATATATATTAAGCAATAAAATTACATTAATAAGCATAAAGTTAATATAAATACATTTCAGACATTAGACTAATAACATAGTAAATTAAAGGCAAAAATATTGTCTTCCATAATAAATAAATTTATTATAAAAACTTGTAAAAATATTTAAAACATGATAAACAATAGAAATACAAGTTGAAAATATTATAAAAGTAAAGATAAATAACGTTTATAAGATAATTAGAAAATTTGTTAAAAATTGTCTAAGTTGTGGAAGGAGTTCATGTATAAAAGAAAATTTTCCTAAGTTATGGAAGGTGTTCATGTATAGATGTCTTGTATGGAGGAGCTGCCGGAGATACATGCCTGCAGTTTTACATATATATGGGGTGGTCGGGAGCCCGACTGCTTGAAGTACTGTAGCACAATGACTAGTCCTATATTAGGGACTTATGATATTAAACTCAATGATACAAAAGCAATACTATAGAAGGTCTCCATGATGAATTTGCATTACAATAGTGGGGTCGTGGGTTGAAGTCCTATATATTAATGACTTATGAAAGTAAGGTCTATGATACAAAAGCAATACTATAGAAGGTCTCTATGATGAATTTGAATTACAATAGTAGGGTCGTGGGTTCGAGTCCTATATATGAATGACTTATGAAAGTAAGGTCTATGAAACAAAATCAATACTATAGAAGGTCTCCATGATGAATTTGCATTACAATAGTAGGGTCGTGGGTTCGAGTCCTATATATGAATGACTTATGAAAGTAAAGTCTATGATACAAAAGCAATATTATAGAAGGTCTCATTGATGCATAAGCATTGTATGGGGTGGTCGGGTGACCGACTGCTCCTAGTACTGTAGCAAAATGACTAGTCCTTATTAGGGACTTGAAAAGGAATATTATGGTGGCGTGTATGCTGCTTCACGAGCAATTAGTCCGAGGTAAACTTGGGCTCGCTAATCGATGTGTCCTAGACATATCATCTTAGTGCCGGTGGTAAGCGGGTTTGTTGTAGCAATACGGCCTTCCCGTGGACATCGCACACCCATACCGTTTGTGGGCGACGTCGTTGCGCATAGCGATGCGTCGTCTATCTTTCGGATTGGGATGAGTGTGTTTGGTAGCACTTTTAAGTGTAACCGGCATACTCAACTTCATGTCTTAGTGCATTAGCGCTATGATACGTGGAGTTTTGTCCACTGGCGTCTTAGTAGCGTACTACTATGATACGTTGGTGCAGTTTTATATTACAACAATCTTAGTGCCAGTGGTAAGCGGGTTTGTTGTAGCAATACGACTTTCCCGTGGACATCGCACACCCATACCGTTTGTGGGCGGCGTAGTAGCGCATAGCGATGCGTCGTCTATCTTTCGGATTGGGATGAGTGTGTTTGGTAGCACTTTTAAGTGTAACCGGCATACTCAACTTCATGTCTTAGTGCATTAGCGCTATGATACGTGGAGTTTTGTTCATTGGCGTCTTAGTAGCGTACTACAATGATACGTTGGTGCAGTTTTATATTACAACAATCTTAGTGCTGGTGGTAAGCGGGTTTGTTGTAGCAATACGACTTTCCCGTGGACATCGCACACCCATACCGTTTGTGGGCGGCGTAGTAGCGCATAGCGATGCGTCGTCTATCTTTCGGATTGGGATGAGTGTGTTTGGTAGCACTTTTAAGTGTAACCGGCATACTCAACTTCATGTCTTAGTGCATTAGCGCTATGATACGTGGAGTTTTGTCCACTGGCGTCTTAGTAGCGTACTACTATGATACGTTGGTGCAGTTTTATATTACAACAATCTTAGTGCCGGTGGTAAGCGGATTTGTTGTAGCAATACGACTTTCCCGTGGACATCGCACACCCATACCGTTTGTGGGCGACGTCCTAGCGCATATCGATGCGTCGTCTATCTTTCGGATTGGGATGAGTGTGTTTGGTAGCACTTTTAAGTGTAACCGGCATACTCAACTTCATGTCTTAGTGCATTAGCGCTATGATACGTGGAGTTTTGTTCATTGGCGTCTTAGTAGCGTACTACTATGATACGTTGATGATATTTTTTAGTTAACAACAATACAAACTTTGTTACCAAAGTCGATAGGGATCATGTGGGTGTGTGGTGAGGGGGCGTCATCCGTATGATAGTTGCATTGATGCTTACTGCTACTTGCGGTATTGGGTCTTGTAATGGATCTGCGGATGTGTTGCGCCTGATTCGACGCACTCTTGTGGTTCTGGTCGATGGAGGTATGCGGGTGGTGATGTCTGCTGGAATGTATGGGGGACCTTGGGATGGTGTAAGCCCGACGATAGTCGTATTGATGCTTGTTGCGTTCTGCAGCATTGCGTCTCTGCGATGGTTGTTTGGTGGGACGCTTTTCTCAATGGCTCTCTCTGCGTCTTGGTTTGACTCACACCTGAGTAGCTTTGCCCAAGTCGGGTCCCTTCATTACGGGGCTGCAGACTGTCTGCCCTCCACGATGTTTTATATAATAACATAATAATATATCTCTGTAACTTTCCCTCCTTTGAATGATTGAAGGCAAGTTGTTGGTGGGTGAGACAAACATGATCGAAAATGCATTTACTCAACGTCAGTGACACAAAACCTTTCTGATGGCAAATTATTACTAACAACTTATAACTGCCTTTTGGCTATATCTGCCGTTGTATTAGTTGGTGGAGCATATGTGTCGACCTCATGCGGGTGGTAGCTGGCGAGAGGATCTGAGGAGACTCAAGGCTGCGGCCAAAAGCCGCACAACGTGAGACCCCATACCCCATTCCCTTGAGGTGAGCGGTAGACTCATGACACGCTCTGCGGCTAGTAGCCGTGCTGATCATGCAACTGGTGGTGATGCCATACACTTACATCACATCTGCAGGAGCGGCGGTCTGGCAGGTGGTGGCGCTCACGGAGGGTTTACGGCCAATGTGCCTATTTGCCTAAACCGTGTGACGTACATTCACTGTGGCTGGATTCGTTCGTATTCTATATGGCGTATACACGCATTGACATGCGCGACTTCGGTCGATGTTTGTGCTTACGCACTAACAAGGGGCCAAGCCTCTTTTACTGGTTCGCCAGTTATTTTGCTGGGGACTACCGTCCAGTTCCCGAATTAACGTTCTCTACGGGGAGAGTGCATTAAAATGGTTGGCGCTTATCGTGCACGGCGTGTGTGGGGCCGTGTGCCTCCCCTACATACATACATAAACACTCACGCCTGTCACCCAGGGGGGTAGGCAGAGACTACAGACTTCCATTTGGCACGATCCTGACACACCTCTCTCGCCTCCTTCACATCCATACATCTACGCATGCATGCTCGTCGGTTAAGGGTACTCCTAATTTGGCCCGTTTTCAATAAATCGCCAATTTGGTCGATAAATTTTCGCCTAGGACGTCCCTTTACGACTCTGCCATTCACTTCTGCAACATAAATTTTCTTTGTCACTCTTTCCTCATCCATTCTTTCCACATGACCAAACCACCGAAGCATTCCTTTCTTAATCCTGGTCACAACATCATCTTGCAAACCACACTCTTCTCTTATCACACAATTCTTCACCCTGTCATTCAGATTCAGCCCTAACATACTCCTTAACGACCGCATTTCTACTGCATTTATTCTACTCTCGTGCTTCTTCTGCCACACCCAACTTTCACTACCATACGTTAAAGTAGGGACCAACACAGCATTGTGAATTGCCATACGTGCCTTTTTTGACACATTTTGACTCTTCACAATAGAGTGCAGGGCCCCATTTACTCTGTTTCCTGCGTTCACTCGTCGTTCTATATCCTTATCATATCTCCCATCCCTGCTAAATACGCAACCCAAATATACAAACTCATCTACTTGCTCGATCAACTCCCCTTCTATTCTTATTTCACATATCGTTTTACTTTCAACTCTTTCAAAAACCATAATTTTCGTCTTACTTGCGTTCACTTTCATACCCCTTTCTTTTAATGATCTGTTCATTAATGTAACCATCATTTGCAACTCAGCCGCCGACGATGCAAGAATAACTTGATCATCGGCATACAAAAGGCATTTGATGGTTAACTCACCCATTCTTAATCCGCATTCTTCAACTTTCAAATTTTGCAAACAACTGTCCATAAATAGGTTGAACAACCACGGGGAAGCCACACAGCCCTGTCTGACACCTTTATGGATGCCAAACCAGTCGGAGTAGACCCCGTTGATCCTAACACAAGCACTAGAGTCCCTATAAAGAGATTCCAATGCCTGTATCAAGCCAGCGCTCAACCCAAATGAGTTCAGTGTTTGCCATAGCACATTCCTATCCACTCTGTCATAGGCCTTCTCCAAGTCCATGAACGCACAAAAAACCTTTTGGTTTTTGGCCAAAAACTTCTCCGCGATCATGCGCACGGAGAAGACTTGATCTGTACATCCCATTCCCTTTCTAAATCCCGCTTGCACATCCCAAATTTTTTCATCGGTTTCTTTCATGGCCCTTTCAATTAGTACCTTGGCATACAATTTTCCCACGATGCTAAGAAGGCTGATACCGCGGTA